TTTGGCTGGGCTAAACAAGACAAGCTCTTTGAGTCTCCTCTCGTACGATGGGTTTTCCATTCCTCAGATCATCCTAGTTGCCCTTCTCTGCCCCGTTCCAGTTTGAATTCATCCTTCTTAAACATGGGAGACCAGAACTGCACACAGTATTGCAGACGTGATCTCACCACTGCCTTGTATAATGGTACTAACACTTTCCAGTCTCTACCGGAAATATGTCACCTGATGCACCCCAGGACTGCATTAGCCTTTTTCACGGTCACATCACATTGATGGCTCATAGTCATCCTGTGATCAACCAATACACCATGGGTGGCACGTGAACCACCCATTGGGTGAGGCTATCCCCCAGCCCTGCCCCTTCTGCCCGAGGCCCCACCGCTCCCCTTCCCCACCAGAGCCCAGGGACCCCCCACCTCAGCCGCTGGACCTCCCATCCCAGCCCCAGGCCACCTGAGTGCTCCTAGGCCCGGGCTGCCCAAGCGCCCCCAGCCCTGGAGCGCCGGGCGAGCGGCACATTCCCAGTGTCAGAGCACTAGATGGGCAGCACGGCCCCAGTGTCAAAGCACTGGATGGGCAGCATGGCCCCAGAGCCCCCAGTCCTGGACCACTGGGCAGCGCAAGCAGCAGCCCCAGCCACTCCAAGTCCCAGCTGCAGGCCACCCTATCCCCAAGCAGCAGGAAGAGCAGGAAATTGGAGGGGATCTGGGGGCAAAGCATGGGGAGGCCATGCTGGGGCTGTTTGGGAAGGTTTAGCCTCTCCCAGCCTGTGATATCCTCCGCCCATGCAATACACCCAGGTCTTCATCCTCCTTTCTCACTTCCAGCTTATAGCAAAAATTCTTGTTAGTCCCTAAATGTATGACCTTGCACTTTGCACTATTAAATATCATCCCATTTCTATTAGTCCAGTTTACAAGGTCATCCAGATCTCCTTGTACGATAATCCGGTCCTCCTCCGTATTGGCAATACCTCCCATCTTTGAGTCATCTGCAAAATTTTATTAGCACACTCCCACTTTTTGTGACAAGGTCAGTAATAAAATGTTAAATAAGACAGGTCCCAAGCCCGATCCTTGAGGAATTCCACTAGTAACCTCCCTCCAGCCTGACAGTTCAGCTTTCAGTATGACCCGTTGTAGTCTCTCCATTAACCAGTTCCTTATCCACCCTTCAATTCTCATATTAATCCCCATCTTCTCCAATTTAACTAATTTCTCATCTGGAACTGAGAAGCATGCATGACCAGTAGGGGCTGTAAGGTTCCAGACTAGCTCCTGTCTTTCTTAGTGTATTTATTAATGATGTGGAAAGAAGAGGAGCAGTAAGGGGGCTACTTTTGCAGGTGCCAAGGTTACTTAGGTTAGCCAGGGCCAGAAAGGACTCTAAGGAACTTCAGAAAGACCAAACCCAGCCAGGGGAATGGGCAGCACAACAGCAGATGAAATTCAAGGTCAACACAAAGAAAAGCAACCTGGAGGGAAAATCTAACCCCCCTGTACACCTTACCTAACTGCATCAGCTCAGGAGAGCAACCTGGGCATCAATCCGCAGCTGTCAGCATAAAAGCAAAGATGTTCAGATCCATAAGGGATGGGAGGGAGAATAATCCAGAGAATATTCTAATACGTTTGAATCAATCAATGGTGAGGCCTCATTTGGAAACCATGTGCCAGACTGGTCCCCACCATCTCACACAGGACAGTGCAGTGCTAGAGGCAAAGGTGGGGGAATAGCACTGTATATTAATGATGAGGTAGACTGTAAAGAAATTAGAAGTGATGAAATGGATAAAACAGTCTGTTTGGGCCAAAATCACTTTGGGAAAGAAAGCTACTAGAGGTTCCCCTGGGCTAATGCTTGGGGTGTGATTATGGGAGGCTTTAACTTCCCTGATATAGACTGGAGGACAAGTGCTATTAAGAATAAAAGGGCCCAGATATCCCTGGATGTGATAGCTGACAGATCTCTTCACCAAATAGTCACTGAACCAACAAAATTTTAGATTTTATATTGGTGAGTAGTGAGAACCGCATAGAAGAACTAGTTGTAGAGGACAACCTTAGTTTGAGTGATCATGAGCTAATTCAGTTTAAATTAAATGGAAGGATAAACAAAAATAGATTTGCAGCTAGGGTTCTTGATTTCAAATGGGCAAACTTTAATAAATTAAGAGAATTAGTTAGGGAAGTGGACTGGACCGAAGAACTCAAGGATCTGAATGTCGAGCAGGCTTGAAATTGTTTTAAGTCAAAGTTTCAGAAGCTCTCTGAAGCTGCCTCCCAAGAGAGGGGAAAAAATTCCTAGGGAAGATTTGCAGACCAAACTGGATGAGCACGCATCTCAACCAGGTTATTAAGAAAAAGCAGAAAGCCTACAAGGAATGGAAGATGGGAAGGATCAGCAAAGAAAGCTACCTCTTGGAGGTCAGAAAGTGTAGGGGAAAAGTGAGAACTGCCAAAAACCAAGCAGAGCTGGACCTCACAAAGGGAATTAAACCCAAGAGTAAAAGGTTCTATAGCCATCCAAATAAAAAGAAAACAAGGAAAGAAGAAGTGGGATCATTAAACACTGAGGATGGGGTGGAGATTAAAGATAATCTAGGTATAGCCCCACACCTAAACAAATATTTTGCCTCTGTTTTTAATAAGGCTAATGAAGAGCTTAGAGGTAGTGGCAGGATGGCTAATGGGAACAAGTATATGGAGGTAGAAATTACCACAATTCCAAGGTGGCAGTCAAACTCAAACAGCTTAATGGGACTAAATCAGCGGGAGGGGCAGATAATTTCCATTCAAGAATATTAAAGGAACTGGCACATGAAATTGCAAGCCCAATAGCAAGGATTTTTAATGACTCTGTAAACTCAGGGGTCATACCCTATGACTGGAGAATTGCTAATATAGTTGCCATTTTTAAGAAAGGGGAAAAAATTATCCGGGAAACTACAGGCCTGACCAACCTGATCTCCTTCTTTGAGAAGATAACTGTTGTTTTAGACAAAGGAAATGCAGTAGATCTAATCTACCAGGATTTCAGTAAGGCATTTGATACAGTTCCACATGGGAAATTATTAGGCCCGTCGATTAATCGCAGTTAACTCACGTGATTAACTCAAAAAAATTAATAGTGATTAATCACACTTATAACAATAGAATACCAATTGAAATTTATTAAATACTTTTGGATGTTTTTCTACATTTTCAATGTTGATTTCAATTACAACACAGAATATAAAGTGCACAGTGCCCACTTGATATTATTATTTTTTATTTCATGGGTAAAAACCCCACTTCTTCAGATGCATGGAGTGAAAACTACAGATACAGGCATAAATATACTGGCACATGAAGAGAAGGGAGTTACCTTACAAGTGGAAAGAAGAAAAGGAGTACTTGTGGTACCTTAGAGACTAACCAATTTATTTAAGCATAAGCTTTCGTGAGCTACAGCTCACTTCATCGGACGCATCTGATGCATCGGTGCTTCCGATGAAGTGAGCTGTAGCTCACGAAAGCTTATGCTCAAATAAATTGGTTAGTCTCTAAGGTGCCACAAGTACTCCTTTTCTTTTTGCGAATACAGACTAACACGGCTGCTACTCTGAAACCTTACAAGTGGAGAACCAGTGATGACAAGGCCAATTCAGTCAGGGTGGACATGAAATAATGGGTGTTACCATACACACTGTCACAAGAGTGATCAGGTATGGTGAGCTATTAACAGCAGGAGAGAGAGAGAGAAGGAAAAAAATGAAAAAAACCCTTTTGTAGTGATAATCAAGATGGGCCATTTCCAGCAGTTGACAAGAACGTGTGAGGGATGTGGGGCGGGGGTGGGGAAAATATACATAGGGAAATAGTTTTACTTTGTGTAATGACACATCCACTCCCAGTCTTTATGCAAGCCTAATGTAATTTTGTCCAGTTTGCAAATTAATTCCAATTCAGCAGTCTCTCGACGGAGTCATGTTTATTCCCCCCTCTCCTCCCCCCCCCGCACTGTTCCTCACACATACTTGTCAACTGCTGGAAATGGCCCACCTTGATTATCACTATAAAAGGGTTTTTTTTCCCCTCTCTCTCCTGCTGGTAATAGCTCCTCCCTAGTCATCTGCCCAAGCTTCCATTTCTTGTAAGCTTCCTTTTTGTGTTTAAGCTCACCGAAGATTTCTCTGTTAAGCCAAGCTGGTTGCCTGCCATATTTGCTATTCTTTCTGCACATCTTTCTGGTTTGTTCTTATGCCCTTGGGGGGGGGGGGTGCAGGCAGGAGGCTTTTTCACACCCCTGAGCAACATAAATTAGATCGTCTTAAGCAGTAATGTAGACTTGCATTTTTATTTTTGACCTTGGCAAAAAAAAGTGTGAGTGTGCTAATAAAATCTGCAGACGACACAAAGGTGGAAGGTATTGCCAGTACAGAGGAGGACCAGAATGTCGTACAAGGAGATCTGGATGACCTTGTAAACTGGAGTTGATGAAATGGGATATTTAATAGTGCAAAGTGCCAGGTCATACATTTAGGGACTAACACGAATTTTTGCTATAAGCTGGGGACAGTTGGAAGGGACAGAAGAGGAGAAAGGCCTGGGTGTACTGATTTATCACAGGAGGATTCCGAGCCACCAATATGGATGCAGCTGTGAAAAAGGCTAATGCAATCCTAGGATGCATCAGGTGAGATATTTCCAGTAGAGACAGGAAAATGTTAGTACCATTATCTGAGGCTCTGGTGAGACCTCATCTGGAATAGTGTGTGTACTTCTGGTCTCCCATGTTTAAGAAAGATGAATTCAAACTGGTTAGGTGCAGAGAAGGGCTACTATGATGATTCGAGGAATGGAAAACCTGCCTTAGGAGTGGCAAGAACAAATGGCTATAAACTGGCCATCCACAAGTCACTGAGGTTAAGGATGTAGACAAGATAATGGCCTTATCCAGTCTGTCAGTTCTTACGGTCTCCCTTCACAACCATAGCATGCCATTGCTGGGAGCCTCACCAGGTTCTCCAGGTTCTCCTCATCCAGGCTGATTGGGCGGAAGTGCTGACGGATCACCTCGTTCAGAGCTCGCACATACTCCACACGCTCTTGCAGCTCTGTCATCTGGCCCTCGTATTGCTCCAGCTGCAGGAAGAGTGAGCACCATTCTGTCATACTGGGTCTGGACCCCACCTGTTCCCTTCACAGCAGATCTCACAGCCCCTCATGCTGAGTGCCCCAGATCTCTGCGCACTGAGAAATCACTGTCCCCTGGCTCTATTGCTCTGCGAGGCAGGGCTGTGCTGAGTGTGTCTGGCACAGAGACACCTGCCATGAGTCTTCAGAGAGACTAAGGCACGGTAGGTGAAATGCCCCACTCACCCCAATGGTTTATTTGTAGAGCTGAGTGAAAACTCTGGAAAAACAAATGTAACAAACGGAATTTTGTCCATTTCTCTGGATACCCCTTTGTTCAGGTTAACAAAATGCAGTGGTGGGACAAGCTGCTTCCACATTGCTGACACTTTGATTTTCAGGTTTTTTCATCTGAAACTCGTCACCAAATTCAGTCGGCACGTACATGCTGCAGTGCCATGACAAGCCTTCTCTGGCAAATTGACTATTTGCCCAGGTCTAGTTATTAGCTCTGAAGCCCACTGCTCTAGGAGACTCCTGCTGACAGCAGCCAGCCTCTTTGCTACGCCAGCATGGGACCCCATACAGAGTGCCTAGCTTGGGTGGTGGGGCTGAATCCTTCCTCCTTGGGGATGTCCGCCGATCCATGGGGCATGGGGCAGTGGTATGGGGAAGGGGAGGCTGCAGCCTGCTCAAAGAGGAGTGGAGTGGGGGCCTCCCCAGCAGATGGCCCAAACAGGGTGGGACCATGAGATGGGGATGCTCATTGGGCCCCAGCTGGCTGAACCCAGAGTCCACGGCACCAGGTCTGTGAGAGCCATACCTTCTGAGAGCACTTGGCGATGATGAAGATGTCAGTGCTGACACTCTGGTAGAGTTGCAAGACCCCGCCAAGCTCAGAAATGAGGATCTCGCTGCGCTGGGACGTCTCGCTCAGCAGCAGGGAGAGGATCTCCTTGATGATAGAGTCCAGCAGGGACACTGGGGGGCATGGAGCAAGCGGGTATCAGGCCATGAGGCAAGGGCAGCCAGCACTGCTGCCATCACCAATTTCCCATCCACAGGCACCCCCCAACCCTCCGTGCGTGACCATAGAGACACCCCGACTTGGGCCCGTCACCAACGGTGAGCTGGAGCCAGTTCGCGCCAGTTCATGTGAACCGGTTGTTAAATTTAGAAGCCGGTTTAGAACCGGTTGTTAAAGGGTTGGGCAAACTCCAGCTCGCGGGTCACATCTGGCCCGCAGGACTATCCTGTCCAGCCTGCCTGAGCTCCCGGCTCAGGAGGCTCCCTTGAGAATCCCTTTTTACTCAGGTGGCGGTGCTCCAGGTCTTCGGTGCCCTCAGTGCAGCCGAAGACCCGGAGCAAGTGAAGGATGTGCCGCTGAAGACCCGGAGCGACTGAAGGAACTGGATCTTCAGATTTTAACAGCTCATCACTGCCCGTCACCAACCCCACCCAGCACTCTCCAAAACTGGGGCCATATCGACCCTCCTCTACGTCACCAGCCACATGCTCCCAGAGTCCACTGCTCCCCCCTTACTAATGGCCCATAACCCCCACTATGTCACCAGCCGCACACTTCCAGAATCCACAGCTCCCCCACTTACTAAAGACCCATTACCTCCCCCATACGACCAGCTACACCCCCCACCCTGGAGACCATTGTCAGGTCCCATTACTCCTCCCCTCTGCGACCAGCCATTCCCCCCCACCCCCGGACTCCATCGCCACGACTAACCTCACCTGACTTTTGCCTCCTCCACGAGGGTCTCATTGCCCGGTGCCCATGTGAGCGCCTCTGCCCCTCCCGATGCCCACATAGCAATCCCCCCGCAGGGCGCACAATTCCCTGCATGTCCCCTCATGCCCCACACACCAGTCTCCTGCTGCATGGTGCTGCAATCCACCATAAGGAGCCGGTTGCAGGTGATGACCGTGGAGGGCACCTCTCTGACACGTTCTGTCCAGGCACGCAGCTGTACGACTCGCTGCACATATTTGCCCGCAGGCCAGCCCTTCATCAGCTGCAGCTGCTTGGGGCTCCAGCTGTGAGCAAAGCTGTGGATCTCTGCCACCCAGGTGTGCTGCTTGCAGATCTCCTGGGTCTCACTCAGTGCCTCCTGCAGGAATAGCACAGGGCTCTCAGCAAACCACATCACCAGGCCCCAGGAGATACAGACCAAAACCCACCATTAGCTCTGCTACCCTCAAAGACCACTCCGAAGCGACAGCTGGTGCCCAACTCGGCAGCCTGGTCCCTGGGAGCCCAGGCCCCACTCCAGGATCCCACTTCCTTCCCCAGGCAAGGCTGCCTGTCTGAAATGGGATGAGCTATCACCCAGATAAGGCAATGGCTTTGGAGAAGAGCCAGGCTGGGGCCCTGGTCTGGGGAGCTCCAGGAGGAAGTGGTCAGAGAGGAGTGAGTGCTAAAGAAGGGCTCCTACAAGGGAAGGCCCTGGGTGGGCAGGGGATAAATAGGAGGGATGGGGGAGAGGCAGAGGGGAGTTCAGGATGAGTGATACTGCAGCAATGCCCAGAGGCCCCAGTAAGGATCAGGCCCGATTACATTGGGTGCTTCACAGACTCCAAGGGAGAGGCGGTCCCTCCCCGGAGCTCAGTCTCTTTAGTGCCCAGTGCACACAGCGTGAGCCGGGGGATGCTTAGTCGGGTGCAACTGGACGCTCCAAAGCTGCGGGGGTCAATCAGCTGTTAGCAGTGGAGAAGCAGAGAGGCGTTGTGGGATGCAGTGAAGAGGGATGATGGCAACATGATCGGACGTGCCCAAGCTGTGGATGGGGTGGCAACATGCAGGCAGCCCTGGGCCGAGGGTGCATAGGGCTGGGCTGAGTTCTGGTGAAAGGCCAGCTCTTAGAGACATTGCGAAGGGAAAAGACGCTAGCCAGCCCTGGACTGACTAGTGCAGTGCAGTGAGCCCCCCCTCACTCACCGCCAGCAAAGCCCGCTGGCTGGCCAGGGCCCCCTGGATACTGCTGTCCGAGTGCAGGTCCTGCTCCAGTTGCTCCCTCGATGGCACTGGGTACTGGCTCCTCAGCCGATGCCCACTCACCTCCAGACCCCCGATGACCTTCAGATCCAGATGATGCACCAGCTGTGGCTCCTGGCCACAGAGCACCTCAGCAGGCAGACTCTGGAGCAGCTCATCGGGGGACTGGGGCTGGGGGGCCCCAGGGCCTCCTTTATCTGCCTCTAGAAGGGCTGCACAGGAGAAAGAGAGAGACAGCGAGGGCTCAACCAACCATCTCAGCAGGGATGATGGGGGGTGCCCACTCCCCTCTCCCTCGGATGTAGTGGGCAGAACCAGGGCAGTGGCAGTGTTCCATCTGGCCAGGAAGCAGCAGATGTGGATGGGCCCTGATAGAGAGACCCTGCGTGAGGAAGTCACCTACCACTTGGCTGGGGTTTGCACAGCACCATTGCCAAGTCCTGACTTCTGAGACTCTCTGTCTCTCCAGGACTCTGCTCAGGTTGGGTCACTGGCTTCTCTTTCCTGGTGCGGGTCACCTGCAGAGACAGGAGAGGGACTGGGAGATCCCCGCTGGCTGTAGAAAGGTGCTTGGCACAGTCCTGTTCACCTTCTGCAGCCCTCCACTCCACACAACAGGGTCCTTCAACCTCCAGGCCAGGCCCACCTCAACACTAACGCTTGGTTCCTCACTCTACAGCAGGAGCACCCATTCCGACCTCCCAGCAAGAGCCGCCAGCCCTTTCCACTCCTCCATAGCAAGAGCACCAGTTCCCCACTCGCTGCCCCTAAGCCAGCCCATCCACATAGCTGAAGCACTGACTTGACACAGAGATCTTGCTGGGAGCTGGCTCCTCCCATCGCCCACCAGCACTGTGGTGAAGGCACCTAAGCCCCAGGCATGTGCCTGACCTTCAGTAATGGCAGTGCAGCAGAAGAGCCTGGCACAGGGACCAATCCACAGGAGATGGATGGCCATTCGGCCCTCAAATGTGCTCTTTGGATGCAGGCAGACTCCCCACTCTCACTGGCGTCAGCACAGCTGGGGAGGGACAACTGCCAAGCTGGGAATCAGAGGTACCAACCTGCACTACAGACTCCACCACGGCCTCCAGGGCCCCCAGCAGGCTGGTCTCCAGCACCTGACTGGAGGGAAAGGGGACCAGTTGGCTGTCAGCATCAAACACCAGGTGCACTCGGAGGACAGCCTTCCGTGTGGTACCATTGGCCTGCAGAGGAGAGAGTCAGGACAGGGTCAGCCCTAACCTCACATTGCGGGCTCTGCATGCCCTGGGTACCCTGGGCTCTGGGTGGCTGAGGTGATGGCCCGGGGCGGGGGGGCTAGCCACGTGCTTGAGGCTGTAACATCCATTTCCAGGGTAACTGAACAAAGAAGAGGCCTAAAAGGTCTTTCAAGGAGATGCCTTTTCAAACACAAGTTACTGTGTAGCTGGCTCTGGTGTGACAGAGGCTGCTGATGCTGGGGACACCAGGGCTGGACACAATTCAAGAAGGCCATTGATAAAGTGAAGAGGGGTCAGAGAAGAGCAGCAGGAATGTTAAAGGGTTGGAAAACCTGCCTCATAGTGAGAGACTCCAGCAATTCAATCTGCGTAGTTTACCAAAGAGAAGGTTCAGGGATGACTGACCACAGTCTAAATACGGACACGGGGAAAAAATGCTTAACAATGAGCTTTGCAGTCTAGCAGATCTGACACAATCCAATGGCTGGAAGTAGAAGCTAGACAAATTCAGACTGGAAATAAGGTGCAAATATTTGAACAGCGACTTACTATGGATTGTGATGGATTCTTCATCAGTAGCAGTTTTTACTTCAAGATGGGATGTTTGTCTAATAGCTCTGCTCTAGGGATTATCTGGAGGAAGTTCTCTGGCTTTTGTTCTACAGGAGGTCAGGCTAGATAATCACAGTGGTCCCTTCTGGTTTTAGACCTCTATGAATCTGTGACCATAAAGACTCATGGACACTAACAAATTCTACAGCGTGCTAGAGAGCAGCAACACTTCACTCACAGTATAAAGAGCTTAGGACCTGGTGAATCATAATCTGCGTATGCTAGCCTGGACCATCAACATGCTGGCCCCCAGTGGCCCCTTCCTCCCCATCGCCCAGGCAGCCTCCTGGTTTTCTGACACCCTCAACCAGAAGACGAAAGAAGGGCAGAAACTCAAGAGCCAACAGCAAAATCGAAGGCTGATAAAGACAAAAAATGAACCATGAGGAATTCTTCCAAGCTCATGCTGAGGCTTAAATACAGGTCAAGAGCCTTCCTATGAGCCTCCATTGAAGCTGGCAACCCTGCCCCAAGGAGCTATCCATGGTGGTAAACTACTTCAGCAATCCTGGGTGCCTACAACCTGCGTCAGAGCTGAGCACCCAGCGCTGCAAAGAACTATCATCCTATTGTGCTGAAAAGATTATGCAGATTCAGGAAGCCGTCTCAAAAAGCCTGGCTCCGCCCCACACACCAACCCACAGCCCACCTGTATTCCTGGAGTTCAGTACATCACTCCTCAAGAAGGGCTGGACTTCCCAAAACCAGATTCATGATAAGCACCTGTTTGTAAAGTGTGTAGATGAAGATGTTGCTGTCATGGAAACAGAGCAAGAAACGTGGCATTAGACAGAGGGAGGTGGAAAGACTGTGGGGGCCTCATGTGTCACCAAGGCACAAGAGCACCTAGTAAAATAATGTGTGGAAACAAAAAATTGCATTGTTACGGAGGAACTCAGTTTGGAATACATATGCTGGAGGACTCATGCAGCCAGCAGTAAAACATCACTGGAGTTTCTAAACATTACAGCTGATAATTTTGTAACACAAAAGGTATTGCATGCTACATGAGGTCATTTTTTCTGGACCTTGTTATGATTGATAAAGATGAATTAATCACTGGATTGGAAGTTAGGAGTTGTCTAGGATCATGACTTGATTCAGTGTAGCCATAAGGTTATTTGATAGCATCCTCAAAAGCTTCTAGAAAGAATTGTGCCTTGCCAGGGTACATTTGCCAAGCAAGCATAGGGATTTATCCCTGGGGGTTTTGAACAGAACTATGTACTTTGTGTATATATAAGAACATACAAACGGCCCTACTGGGTCAGACCAAAGGTCCATCTAGCCCAGTATCCTGTCTTCCGACAATGGCCAGTGCCAGGTGCCCAGAGGGAATGAACATAACAGGTATTCATCAAGTAAGCCATCCCCTGTCGTTCATTCCCAGCTTCTGGCAAACAGAGGCTAGGGACACCATCCCTGCTCATCCTGGCTAGTAGCCATTGATGGACCTATCCTCCATGAACTTATCTAGTTCTTTTTTGAACCCTGATTATGGTCTTGGTCTTGTTTAGGTTAATTTGTTACTCTCTTTTCCTTGACAAAATACATTCTGAACTACATACATAATGCTCAAGTTCCTGTGATGCACACACTTGGCAAAGGCTTTCTCAGTTTCATCACTTTCACTTGCAGAGTTCATCAAATCGTCTATAACAACCATATTTACTTTATTGGTAGGAAACAGTCATAAAACAAAAAAAACCCAGGCAACCCCCCCACAAAATTGATGAAAGGGTATTGTGACAAAGTTCCTCTGCCTTGGTGGGTCCTGCGCTTATTGGTGGATTTTCTCGCTGCAGAGGTTCACGGCAGCCCTCAGTTTGGCCACTTTCGTGGCTCAAATCTGCCGTTCATTCAGTTAGCTTCATCACTAGGGAAAGGAAGAAGAACAATCCCCACAGTCTCTGCTGATCCTGGATTGGGGAACAGGCCAGAGACCTTCCCCTCCGGTGGAACGCAAAGTCCAGTTCAGCTCCTCCGGTATCAAGTAGGGAGTTGGGGGGATGGAGGAATCCAGGGCCTGCCCTCTACTCCGGGTTCCAGCCCAGGGCCCTGTGGATTGCAGCTGTCTAGAGTGCCTCCTGGAACAGCTGTGCGACAGCTACAATGCCCTGGGCTACTTCCCCATGGCCTCCTCCCAACACCTTCTTTATTCTCACCACAAGACCTTCCTCCTGATGTCTGATAATGCTTGTACTTCTCAGTCTTCCAGTAGTATGCCCTCTCACTCTCAGCTTCTTCTGCCTCTTGCTCCCAGCTCCTCGCAAGCACACCACAAACTGAAGTGAGCTCCTTTTTAAACCCAGATGCCCTGATTAGCTTGCCTTAATTGATTCTAGCAGCTTCTTGATTGGCTGCAGGTGTTCTAATCAGCCTGTCTGCCTTAATCGTTTCCAGAAAGTTCCTGATTGTTCTGGAACCTCCCTGTTAACTTACCTAGGGGAAAGGGACCTACTTAATCTGGGGCTAATATATCTGCCTTCTATCACTCTCCTGTAGCCATCTGGCCTGACCCTGTCACAATATTTACAAATAGTTCTTTATACAGAGGTTGCCAGCAACTGTAACACCACACAATATTCTCAGGCATAACAAATAACATTGCTCAATATTATCCAACACATTTTTAATTAGGTAACTTTTCCCACAGTTGCTAGGCCCTACAAGAATTACAGAAAAGTGGTGTTTCCACTTTTGCATATCCATTTTCATATCCATTTTCAAAAGCCATAGGGCAGGGTTTTAAATCTTTCTATGGTGACCCTCTTGTTGAAAATGACTTTCTGCATTTTCTTAAGGGTCTTTGTTTCTATTAGCCACTGATTTTTGCTCTTTGCAATAGAGGACTGCTGCACATCTATCTTTTTGTTGGGGTGTTCTCACCCAGATCTGTGCTATAGTCCAAGACTAGATCTTTCAAACTGTCAATGTTGATCTTTTCACAATTTGCTATGTTGAGGGTAATCCCTTTGACTTTCATGCAGGCCTTCCCTTCCAACAGCTTGTACCAATATATTTCTGGATCTGCTGACACAAACTCTGTGATGGGTTTGCCTGCCAGGATCTTACTCCTGAGGTACCCTAAATAATCCCCCAGGAATGGGGTTCCAGTCTCACTCCCTTTTCACAATATCACCGAGTCTGTGTCATGACACAGGCCCTGCTCTTGCAAATTGTCTTACAGGTTGTATAGTTCAAAGCAGGCGTAAGTGGTGGTGAAACAAGCTATGGAAATGTTTGTATTGCCAGAGACTGTGTAGCAATCTTTTGCATGTTTCCAAGACAAGCAAGCTGTTTCATTGTTGATAAACTCATAGGATGAAACCCCATAATTGCGGGAAAGCAGGTACTGAAAGAGTTCATCGGGATGTTTCAAAATGCTGGTACTAGTTGGGTTTGTTCTTTGGCCAGATTTACCCCACAGAGAATTTTAAAACAGTTTGCAGAGTAACAGCCGTGTTAGTCTGTATTCGCAAAAAGAAAAGGAGTACTTGTGGCACCTTAGAGACTAACCAATTTATTTGAGCATGAGCTTTCGTGAGCTACAGCTCACTTCATTGGATGCATACTGTGGAAACTGCAGAAGACATTATATACACAGAGACCATGAAACAATACCTCCTCCCACCGGAGTCCGATGAAGTGAGCTGTAGCTCACGAAAGTACTCCTTTTCTTTTTGCGAAAACAGTTTGGTAATTTGGCACTGTGGCAAGGCACCTCTTTTCTCTCGCCAGCCTTAGCATTTCTCCCTTCCGGCGATGGTGGGCCTGGGGTAATCAGTCCCACTCAGGCAGGGTTTTCCCTCCCCCTTCAGTGCTCCCTTGGTTGCGTCTTCAGGAGACCTGAGGGTAAGCCTAAGCGGTGCTCCTCCCCCTCTCAAAAAAGGGAACTAGTCCTATAGATCCAAACAAAGGGTAATACCTTTCCCTGCCTCCTCACTGAGAGGGGGTGTCATCCTGTTGTTTGTTCTGGGGTGTCAGTCCTTACCCTAGCCGGCACTTGGGCTTGTCTGCTTCCCCTATGGGAAGGAACACGACCTCTCCACCTGGAGAAGCTACTTCCCTGCTGCTACTAGCCTGGTAACAGCTAGTGTCTCTCTCTCTCTCTCCTCCCTTTCTCTCACTGTAGGAGGGGTTTTAAAAGGTCTCAGGCAGCCCTTAATTGGATTCAGGTCTTTAATTAACCTGAAGTAACCCCTTCTCAGTTTGTAGGAAAAAGGGCCTTTAACATTCTAAGGCTAACACATCTGCCTTCCACGACCCTCTTGAAGCCGTCCGGCCTGACTTTACCACAGCACTTTGTGGGGTTCAATGTGATCTCATGTTGGCATAAGTGCATGCCTTCTTTCTTGTAGAAATCATTAACT